GAGAGAGCACATGAGAGGGGGGAGGGTCAGAGGGAGAAGCAGACTCCCCGCCGAGCAGGGAGCCCGATGCGGGACTCGATCCCGGGACTCCAAGATCATGACCTGAGCCGAAGGCAGTCACTTAACCGACTGAGCCACCTAGGCGCCCCTTGGAGAAGTGATTTAAGAGCAGGGAATAAAACCCAAGGAGCCAAACGTGGGCTTTTTTCGAAGGCAGTACTTTCTAACAGAGCGAGAGAAGAGAGCCAGGGTCCGCCAAAGCCAGCAAAAGAGCGGTCTTACCCGTGCAGTTTCTTTCCTCCATGTCCAGGGCAAATCCGCTGTTGCAACGGCACTTGAAGCTGCCGATTGTATTTCGGCACTTGCCGTAAGTGCACATCCCAGGGAAAGCTTTGCATTCATTGATGTCTGAAAGCAGAACAAAGCAGGAATGGAGAGCCAGCTGACTGGAAAGTGTGGGTCCCTCGGTGAAAGCTGAAAAGCTATCACGATGGAAAATAATGTTCCCAAGTCCAAACGGGGGCCCTCAACATCGTCAGTGATCACGTGGATGCCACGGAGAAAGTTTCAACCCTTTTTAGTGAAGGGTTCCGATCTCTTTCTTTCTGACCATTCATTTGGTAAGGTTTAGGGGGGGTAGGGAGCTTTCTGCTGCATCAGGGCTGCATCTGGTCAGCAGAGACAGTGTGGAAGGATGTATGAAAAGTGAGATTAGTGGCGTGTTTTACATCTTTACTTCAGTACCAGCCCATATAGGTGATTCATATTCCTGGGCCAAAAGGTCGGCCACAATTCACGTTTAACAAAGAAAATAAAGTGGCAAATTACATGCGTGAAGCAAAACCAAATCTGAGAGAAAGTGGGAGGTGAGCTTTGGTGCAGAGAGGTCAACGCGACCCTGAAAGTTACCTTTGTAAAATGGCCGCCCTGTAAGAACGTCCCCTCTGTTAGCAAAGCCCGGCCCCCGGGGGCACAGGGTCTCATACTCCTTGGTGCCAGGTTTGGGGCATTCCTCACACTCCGTGCCCCAGGCTGCCCCAACCGCACAGCAGCAGGCATCCATGCGAAACTTTCCAGGAACAGGATGGACACATTCATCTTCATCCCACTTCAAATAACACTGCTCCATGCGGATGTCTACACGGCAAGTGAAATCACAGTTTGAGATGAAGGTGTCACGTTCATTGACCATTCATATACTGAGTTTCAGCTCAGCACCTGGCATGATGCCGAGCTCTGGAAATATGATAATGGGTGAAAGACAGAGTCCCTGACCTCCTGGAATGGACTCCATACAGTCACTTGAAGAGAACAAAGGTGGGTTCCTCAGTATTACTTTATTTTCTTTATTTTCACAAGACACCTTCAGGAAGGAAAGATTCCCTTGTGACCAGACTCCTTCCTATCATCATCCATGATCCCTTTTGTGTATTGCTCACTTCAGAAAGAATAAGATTACTTTAGTGACAGATTCTTGTTGTTCACTGAATTGCTTAAAGTGGCTTGCAACCAGTTCTGTCCTGTCCCAGTCAGAAGCAGTAAATGATCAACTGTAATCTATCTGCCAACTTGGGACAACTACTAAAACAGCTTTACAAAGGAAAAAAAAATGTTTTTGCATTTAAAGTTATTTTTTTTTCTGTCAAATTTACCTTTGGTATGGTTTTTGTCTTGCATTATGTAAATTTGCCCTAGTCAGGGGCCAAATTATTTGCTTACATGTCACATTTTCCCTTCAATCTTGAAATATACCAGGATCTTAGAAGACTGACAAGAGTCACAAGATAGGATAAATTAGCATGGTCGGTAAATAACACATTTAACTGTTAGTCAACAGAGCTGTTGGTCCAACTACAGTCAAACACTTGGCTGTATGGATAATGAGATAAAAAAGGTTTTCTTTAATCAAATAATATGTTTTATTTGATGAAAGCCTTTCAAGACATTAAATCTTTTCCTAAACCTGAAATTGCTGAACAGAGTATGGCATCCCTAATGGAAATATAAACATAAACAAATAAATGTGTTTACTATTTTAGTTACTGTCAATACTGATTCTTTCAAGTGCTCAAGCAAAGGTAGCATCGACTTGAGCAACCTCCTTTAGCTTACAGTCATGTCCATTTCCAAGGATGGTAATTAAAAAGTCCTATTTTTAAAGAAAGAAATCACTGTGGTAAATTTACATTTTGACTTGGTAGACTGAATACAGGTATTCACAGTAGGTATTCTGCCTTAGGTATCCGCACCATCACCAGCCCCAAAGCCATGCTCTCTACCAGTGTGAAGTACAACAGTAATCTCCAGAGCCTCATGACCTCAAGGCACCCAGTGGCCACTCCCAGTCACAGCCAACCCCATCCAACACTGTCACTAAGGATCTTAACAAGATATACAAGTTTTATTTAGGTACCCTGAGAACTGTGGACTAAGTCAAACTTTTTCTGAGGTCACTGATGTAATTTGCTCAAGAAGGGAGATTAGCTAAAAACAAAACAAAACAAAACACCCCCAAAATCATTTGAACTTAATATGTAAAGAGTTATGAGAGCCTGGCAGAGTAATCCTGTGTCTTTGCTACACAGATCCGTATCAATATTTGCCTCAGTAATCAAAACACTGTACACTGACCACATTATGGTCTGGGAATGTTTTTACTGACTTGGGCAGAAATTAAAATATGTATTTGGAAACCTCTGGATAGTTCATGAGCTCTAGAGTTTGCTGCGGTCCTCACTATGCCTTACTACCACTTCCCTCATTTATGTTACCTGCCTGGCCCCTGAGAGTATTTGAATTTGGACCACTGATCTAGATCAGTTCCTATCAGAGCAGTTTATCTCTACTTCTCTTCTCAGGATATTTTATATGTCTAAATGTCAGTCTCTTCTTGAAACCTCCTCACATCCCCAGCCGCAATTCATTTTTGTACCATAATTCGAGTAGTGACAAAAACATTTAACCAAAGTACCTGGATGAAAACTCTAATACATCCTTTTGGAACATTATAAAAGGTGTGATTTCGAGTGATATTATTGGGAATTTATTTTGTTGAGTAATAATTTACAATCACATATATCTTCACATATAACATCTTTTTGTTACTGAAGGCTATTTGATATTATTAGTCATTTGACCATACTGACGATATTATTTGGCATCTTCAAAAGATACTTTACTTTTTTCTAAACTTTTTAGATAATTTAACAATAAAAATCTGAAAAGAATTTTTATTATTGGACTTTTGGATATTATAATTTCTTCTTTTTCCTGTGTTTTTTTTAAATTTAAATTCAATTAGCCAACATATAGTACATCATTAGTTTTTGATGTAGTGTTCAATGATTCATTAGTTGCGTATAACACCCAGTGCTCATCACAGCACATGTCCTCCTTAATGTCCATCTCCCAGATATTATAATTTCTAATCAATTCCACATGACTTCATAGCCATACTTTGTATCCTAATTTAAATATACTATTAAAAATTAGCTTAAAATGAAATTCATGTTAATTATAATGACTCTGTACAGTGTTGCAAATATCTTGTACTATTAATTTTAAAATTCACTGATACATGTGGGGTACCTGGGTGGCTCAGTCAGTTAAGTGTCCGCCTTCAGCTCAGGTTGTGATCCTAGGGTCCTGGGATCGAGCCCCATGTAGGGCTCCCTGCTCACCTGGGAGCCTGCTTCTCCCTCTCCCTCTGCCCCTCCCCCCTGCTCGTGTTTGCTCTCTCTCTCTAATAAATGAGTAAAAGATTTTTAAAAAAATAAAATAAAAATCACCAATTCATTTAAATACCTTAAAGATCTTTGAATATAACACTGTCATTACTCATGCTTTGTCTACAAGCTTAAATTTCAAATACAAACCTATATACAGTTATTTTACAAACTAAAACTTACTGTTCCAATGCATATTGGGAAAAAAAAACCCTTAAGTAAATAAAACATTATTTAGATACAATATAGAATTAAGGAAAGTTTCTTTTTCAATCATTAAACTCAGATTTAGTTAAGCATGACCCTGATAATGATAAAGTCAACTAGGCATTTCTGCTTTTATTTTTATGTGTTTATTTTAAGTAATCTCTACACCCAACAGGGGGCTCAAACTCATGACTTTGAGATCAAGTCACATGCTCCAAGAACTGAGACAGCCAGGCACCTCTCAAGTAGGCATTTCTATACTAAAGATGTTGAAAAAAAGAGCTTCCTCATTTTAGATCTTTACAAAAAGGAGCATTAAGAAAATTTAAACTCTAAGGTGATAAAGGAATGTCTAGGATCAAGCAATGTTTTCAAAGAGAGACAACAACCTTGCCTATGACCTCCCCCACTGTCTTATTTAAGAGTGCAGCTGCAATGAACTGATAAATGCTGACTCCAAACACTAGTTTCCAATTTTTCTTTTATGTTCAAAATATACATAGTTCTCTTATTCCATTGACCAATGTGAAAGACTGAAACTACCTAAAATATCTGATTAAAGAAACTAACTTTTTGAGAGAGTTTTTGAGCAGGACCAACTTCCTATATTATACAGAATCCATGTCATTTAAACACATTCACTTTAAAAATATACTCTAGTGATTCCCCCCAACCAAATATTTCATTTAAAGCCACTGTTCCAGCTATAGACCCAATGATTTTGAAGTGGTCAATGCCCAAGAAATAAGAAAAATTCATCCCTGGTTTCATGCATAATAATACATAAAGACATGAATCTTACCCAAACACACACGGCCAGTTCCATCCAACGTAAGGCCTTCGGGGCACTCACAATGAAAAGATCCTTTGCTATTGACACAGCGTCCATTTGGACAAACGCCAGGAAATACCTCACACTCGTTAACGTCTGCAGGGAAATAAAGTGAGCAGAGGGATAAAGATGTTAGAAATAGAAAAAGCAGGTGTAGTCTTCCCATATAGCATATTCAATCTGTAATACAATGTGGATTATTACTTGAGTCGAACAGAAATATTCCACAACGCAACCACCGGGTTTCCTAGGTACCAGCTATGAAAATGACCACGGCCTTGCCCATCCATAAAACAGCCCAGACATGCTCCTCTCCCAGCTGTTTTGTGCCTTTATGCCTAATGATGGCCCCATGAAAAAAAATTTTTTTTAAAGATTTTATTTATTTGACAGAGACACAGTGAGAGAGGGAATACAAGCAGGGGGAGTGGGAGAGGGAGAAGCAGGCTTCCTATGCAGCAGGAAGCCTGATGCGGGGCTCGATCCCAGGACCCCCCTGATATGGGGCTCGATCCCAGGGATCATGACCTGAGCCGAAGCCAGATGCTTAACGACTGAGCCACCCAGGCACCCTGTCCCAATGCAAAATTACCCAACAGCATAAAAAAGGAGAAATGGGGAACTCTAAGCTGTTTTCCGAGAATATTATTCTAAAGCATTTGTTGATTACATTGAGTATTTTTATTGCAATTTCAAGGCTTTTAAAAATGATAAATATCTCCAAAGTGAATGTTCATTTTACCTACTGCTCTAACGACTTACAGTATCATCCAAGTATACACTCACCTTCACAAGAAACACCTTTAATCCTGGCAAACCCTCTTGGGCAAGCTGTATCTATGAGAACAAGAGGACACATTTTTACTTCATTGTAAGAGAAAATGTAACTGTTTTAAGTTCAAGAAACAGTACAGTGGAATCTAAGTTGAACTGAATAGAAACCACAAGCTGGGGTCTTAGAACCCAAGGACTCCAGGTGCTCTCCATTCAATTCAGGATGGTACATGACACACTGTGTTAACTCCCGTCAGGGTTGACCCATATGGAGATTCTCAGTTTTCCTACCATTCACTTTTGTTTTCACGATGTCAGCTGAATTACAAGTAAGCTTTACTTACTTACATATAGGTTTAAAGGAAAGAGACATCACATTCTATATGGACATGCGCAAACAAGGACACTGGAGGATACTGACAGTCACCCAGCAGCTAAATTCCAGAAATTCCCTTTCTCGTCTAAAATGCTCAGAAGGTCTTCTTACAGTAAAAGGATAAATCAAATACATATTTCAACAAGTGAATAAATTTCACCAGAGAAGACATTTTAGGGAGGGTAACGATCTTACAGTCTTCGTCATTCCAGAAATACATAGGGAAACAGGTGCCCGCCTAGCTGAAGCAACAGCGTTCCAGTGAGAAGCCCAGAAGGAGCTCCTGGGCAGGCTCCTACCTAGTTCACACCGTTCGCAGGGGCTCCCCCAGGCAGCTCCGAGTGTGGCGCAGCATTCCGATTTCAGCGTAGCTCCATTAATGTTCACCTCACAGCGGTTATCCTGGATGTTGAGCCAACACGTCCCTTTCAGGCTGTCTGAAGAGGAATAGGGAGGGATGGGGAGCTCTCATCTCTGAAGAGAATGTAATTCACTCTTGTACAACAAAGGCAATTCTTACAGTATTTAACAAAAGCATTATTTTAACAATGTTTTAACGTATATTCTTTAAGCATATTTATGTGTACATGTATTTACACAAATACAGTATATTACATACATGTAAATCAAATAATCATACCATGTACATCTCACAGGACATGATAACTAATACAATTTTATCTACTGATAGTCCATGCCACTGTTGTCCCAGATTTTATGCTGTATTTACAAACTCAGGGCATTACCATGATAAGATCATTACTTGTGTGAAAAATGCAGATAAGATTGATCTTTTATGATAAATGCTTTGACACTTAAGATTTTACCAAGTAAAATTCCTTAAATCATTTCCTTTTCTTGTAGTCCCCCACCAAATACACCACACATAATTTACGTCCTATTACAGAGAAACCAGCATTTCTCTAACTGAAGATAATTATTTGATGAATAATTTACCAAAAAATCGACAAGATGAAGAAAAGAAACATCACCTATAAAACCACCACTAAGACACACCAGGGCTAGCGAGTGACGGATTTTCTTTCGGGTGTTTGCCTTTACATGATGTATGTGTGAGTTTGTCTCTAGTTCAGAAAGGAATACATGCTTATGGTAAACTGTGTGAAGAAATGGGAGAGATAATATAAAAAGGACGTGTGTCTAATTAAAGAACATTTTGATTCCTATAGAGAAAAAGAATATTTTCTTAATAATGCTAAGACATTATTTGCCTTTTTCCACTCTCATTTTTTCACAAGTGTACATATAATAGAGTTTTCCAGAAGCTACACAACATGGAATAAAATTGTCATTCTGTTAAAAAGGAAAAAAAAAAAAGGATGTGTATCCAACCACCTAGCGCTAACTACTTGTACATTTTGGTCTGTCTCCGTATCACATGTAAATTAGGATCCCCCTTCTGTGACCGCGGCATAGCGGGCTTTGGAATGGTCACAAGGCATGCAGTCCAAGTGGACAGGGCCAGTGCAAGTCGGGTAAAAGAAATCATTCCCGAAGTCCTCCTTGCGGTACTGTGGCTCCCAGTTCAGGGTGCATAACATTACCAAGGTTCCTGTCATGACCTGAGCCGAAGGCAGACGCCCAACCATCTGAGCCACCCAGGCACCCCTCCAAGGTTCCTGTCAAAACTCAGGTTCACAAGTGCGCATGTGTGCGGCCCGGGAGCCTACATCTGACAAACTCCTCAGGTGAATGCTATGCAGGTGGTGTGTACAACAGCTTGACCAAAAACTTAACAGCATATTGCGGCTCACAGCCTTGGAGCACAATAAAGAGAACGTATCTTCCTATAGTATTTACTTTAAAATTCACTTAATAATATGGCTAAAGTTTCACTGCCAATTTCGGCAGTAAACACAAAGCATAAGGGGAAACAGAGAAAGAGAATTACAATGAAATCATCAGCACCAGGAAGGAAGAAGCTGTGGTTTCTGATTCCCTCCTGGACACGAGCAGGTAGGAGGAAGTGCCCTGCAGCTGAGGCCTCGGGGACAGAGCCCAGAACAAGACAACAGCGTCCCTGACTGGACACACACACACACACAAACGATGGGGCAAAGCCGTGGAGAAGAGCTGGATGCTCACTTTGCTTTCTTCTGCTTTGAGATTCAGTTTGGGTGAAAACAGGTGCAAATGAAAAAGACTTTCTCATCAGACCATTTTTATCAGGTCTCAAATTACAGGCTTTTTATAGGCTTTTCACATGTTCGTTTACTTACTTGTTAAAACAGCCTCTGAAGTATGGATAATTTGCAGATGAGAAAATGGAGGCCCACGGAGGTCAACTAGTCTACCCAAGGTCACCCAGCTAGTCCAGTGTCCCCATCACACATCAAAGCTGCATATTCTAATTTCAGAGCCTCCACTTTGTAACCTCATGCTTATTCTGGCTGGTATGGTACCAACACTTGGAAGTTACAAAACGCACTGATGCAAAATGCCCATATACACATATTCATCTCTCTCGCTCTGATTGGTTTTCTGTGTGTGTACAGACACACACACACACCAGATGTAGTTATATAGCTGTGTGGTCAGGGGCTGGTTAAGAACTCTGAAAAAAATAAAGCAGGCTAAGCAGTCTTGATTGGAAAAAGACTGTTCTTATCTAGGGTAGTCAGAGAACTTCTCACTTACAGTGTGACCTCTGAGTGAAGGCTATAGGGTGGCAAATAGCGAGAAAACAAAGATAAGACAGAGGCTACAGTAATAATCAAGAAGAGAAATATTGGGGGCTTGGATTGGGGGGCAGTGGTGGTGAGAAGCGACTGGAATATGCATAAATGTCAAGTACAATCAACAGGAATTGCTCATGGATTCAATGTGGTGTTTGAAAGAAAGACATCAAAGATAACTCTGAGGATTGGGGGGCTGCTGATTGGAAAAATGGAATTTCCATTTGCCAAGACAGAAACAATTCTGGGAGACACAGGTTCAAGCCAAAAGATAGCAACTGTGTTTTGGCCATGCTAAATTTGAAGTATCCATTGGACATCCAAATGGAGATAGTGTGCAGACAGTTGGAAATACAAGTCTGGAATGAGTGGGGATATTTAGGAATGACAGATACATTTGAGGGTCAGTGGAGAGGCCATCTAAGCGTGAGTGTAGACAGAGAAGCCAAGAGGTTCAGGGCTGACCAGGGAGACACCTCAAGCTGGAGGGCAGGAGGATATGGAAGACATAACAAAGGAAACTGAGAAAAAGGGGCCAGAAAAGTGAAAAGACCAGAAATGGAAAACTTCTTGAGAAGGGGTGAGCGAAAAGCACTGCTAACAGTGAAGGTAAGAAAGAAGGAAGGACCACTGTATTGACACCATGGAGGCTACTGTCCTTGTCATGTCCATGGAATCTGAGGAAAGCATGCAGACCCAAGACAAAGATGAGGGAAATTGGTTTGGATTACAGGGAGCCATTGGATGTTGAGCAATGTTATGCAGGAAAGATTAATCAAAGGTATTGTTCTATTATATTTAATAATTTTCAACCAAAATACAATAGTCTTTGTGAGCCATTTATAGAACAGTTTAAGATTAATTTATATTTAGGGAGTTTACACAATATATTCTAAATCTCTAAACATTCTAAGTGTCTATCTAGTTCCTATATGCTCTAACTAATTTTAATCACACTGGGGAATTTTTATTCAGTTCTTAATATAGACACTTGGCTCCTAGGAAAGAGCAATTTGCAGGCTGATCACCAATTAGAGCCACTGTCAGTCCTATTAAAAAATTTTGTAGTTTTTCCTGTGTATGTTTCACGATCTATTTCTTCTTTAAAGTTAGAATTCTGTTTCCAGTGAAAAAAAGATAAAATGATGTCTAAAATTTTTTTTTAAAGATTTTATTTATTTGACAGAGAGAGAGACAGCGAGAGAGGGAACACAAGCAGGGGAAGTGGGAGAGGGAGAAGCAGGCTTCCCACTGAGCAGACAGCCTGATGCGGGGCTCGATCCCAGGACCCTGGGATCATGACCTGAGCTGAAGGCAGACGCTTAACGACTGAGCCACCCAGGTGCCCCAGAATGTCTAAAATTTTAAAATATTAAGGAAATTTCTTTCTGAGCAGCTCTAGGCTGGGATATTCAAATTTGATCACAACCAATAAAAACTCGTAACACACTGCTGAGAAAAATACGGTGGTGTTTAGTTGCCCAACATAATGACCTGGTAGTAAAAAGTCTCTGTTCTTTTTCCATTAATAAATACAAGATAAAAGACCAAAATAATAAAAGTCTTTAGGATGAAGCAAAAACTAAGATACCTCTGATGCCCAAGTGGCATATAGGTTTAATTTTCTGAGACATTAATTAATTGACATTGACAATTAATTGACATTAATTAATGCTGAGTTCATTTCCTTTGCACAATAAAATGACTCTATCTCATTTGGCAATTGCGGCCTAGCAAAAATATTTTTGCCTCACCTGATCCAACCTCTGCCCTTCCCCCAGTGGAATTCTATAAGAAAAAAAGTAATGCCCCAGGCAGATGGCAGTGTATTTCCTAATATGGAGAGCTGACCAAGGCTCAAATTTCACCAGCTGCACCTCACTGAGAGATGAGGAGCTGGCATTTTCAAAGGGCAGGTTTTCACTGATAAGTTTGTACCTGGTCATTTCCCTTCATGTAACAAACAGGTCCTCTACCATCCAGCTCAACACTGTTAGCATCAGATGTTATACCGAAAACACAATTGTCTTGAGCAAACATGAACTGTCCTGATCCTGGCCAATGGGGCCACAGACACGAGAGGCAGGACAAAATGAGTGGTCCAGGTCTTCTCCTTGCATGTACTGAATCGCTTCTTACAGCAATAGATCAGACCATCTTATACATGTCCTACCATTATTATCACAACCTGACCTTAAATGTTTTCAGAAGTATAAAGAGATGTCAGTCCGGAAGTTTTAGAATCTTTCTGAAAGCAAGAAAATAGTTCTCTTTTCTTCCTTGGGCCTATACATTTATGACTGATGGGTGAAATGAAAAAATAATAAACTCCTTCTACTCGTTTAAAGTTTAAAATCCTCAAATTCTTGTGCTGTTAACGAGTCCAAACTCTATCACATTTTTGCTTTGAAGCTTGTCATAAAAAGTATGCAGCAGGGATCTGATTGTATCGGTACCTAAGGCATTCCCAGGGTAGCAAACATAAGTATGTGTGTGGCGTGCAAATCCTCGTAACTTACAGCATAATCTGCCTACTCATATGAAAGGAACGCTTCTTAGAAGCTAACAACATTCAAGAGCCTGCCTGTTTATGCTATCATGTTTTACTCCTATCTCAATAATGAGAGTAAACAATTAAAGCAACTCCTAATTACTAGCTTCCTGTGATCATGCTCTGTTCTCATCCACGGTAAGGCCTGCGGTCTCCGCTTAGGTTGGCAGTGAAACTCAAACACCAGTGGCATGCATGCATCTTACCAATACAGATCAATCCTGTTGAGCTGAGTTTGCTGCCAGGAGAACATTCACAATTGAAAGATCCAAGGTTGTTCCTGCAGGCCCCATTGACACATGGGTTGCTTTCACATTCATTTATGTCTACAATCCAGAAGGAAAAGATTCTGTTAGAACTGCTATGTGTTCTGGAAAATATTATTCCAACAAGCCATGCTATGCCAGAATGTCTGGTAAACTTGGCTCTTGCAATTTTAATATGGATCTATGAGGCACAAAGTGAATGGGGAATGGAGACGTTGAAGTTTACAGTGTGGATACACAGACATGGCTAGGGGCTCAGGAGGACTGTAGGAATCAGCCCAATATTGCGAAAGGGGTTAGTGTGTTACTCGTCACTATTTCACTACCACTTTACAGAAATTGGATTGATTTCCCCCACAATAAGATATAATTGCCCTGTGGGAAATCTGAATTCTGAATACATGGAAAGCAACATATATATTCCCGGGTACAATATGCTGTGCACAAACAAATGTTGACTGTTTCTGTCATCTGTGGCTCTGGGAGGTTTTAGAAGAAACATAAAGCCTGTATTAGAGACAATATATCACAATGCTGGCTTTCATTCCAAACTCCTGGGTACAAGTCAGGAAATCAGGGATGAAGCTTTAATACTGAGTAGAGCATTCTCTTCCAGGCCCCTCTACCTGCCTCTCTCCTCAGCCTGTTCACATTTAGATGCATGGTGTAGAGAGTCTGTTAAAGCACAATTGATTTTGGTAAAATAGAAAAAGAGGAAAAACTTTCAAATGCTTAAAACAGACCTTTACTATCATTAATCTGCTTTGAGTCCTTAATCAAATTAGACCACATAATCTAAACAATTGCTACTGAGGGTCAGAAGTAACCAGAGCACGCCCATGTTCTCAGGCGGTAACTAAAGCAAATCTCAAGCCAAGAGAATTAGTTTAACAGGAGTTAATTAAAAATAAATACAGGCTTAGTCCAAGTAATAGAACCAGTATCCAAAACTGACTCTCAGTATAAATTCAACCACTCAATTTAAAGAAGGGACACACAGATTTCTCTTTGTACTTGGTTAACTATGTGAAACAGGTCAGCATACCTCAAGACATTTTTTGTTGCTGCTGAACACAAGGTTTCTGAGCTCACCACAGCACTTTTTTCTAAACACCTCTTTGAATTAAATATCAAATACTATATTGAGGAAAACATGAAAATAACTAAAAGGCTGCAGTGCTTACTCCTGAACATCTCAAGTAAAATATAAACCAAACTGGTCTTGAAAAGGCAGGGCTCACTACTGATTTGCAAGGCTGTGGACTTGAAATGCAAATTTAAAAATCAATATGGAAAACAGGTATGTACTTTGCTACTTCAAAATTACTAAAGTAGTACACAGGTACTAATTTAATTCTTGAAGTAGAAATTGAGGAAACATGAATGCATCTTTTTTCTTCAGGATTTTTGTACCAAGAAATCCTCCTAAAGGAAAAATACAAGAGCAGGTTTTATAAATACAGCACAGATTTGGAAAGAAAACATCTATTCCAGAGTACTGAAATTCTTTTAGTAAAAACACAATGTAAAAAGGGAATCAGATAGCCAAAAAAAAAAAAAAAGGAGGAGATAACTAATCTGAGGACAAATTATATATAACTCACCTATTAATTTCATTTGTAAGAAGCTCTCCAAAAAGCAAAATGTCAGTATCATGTATTTCTAAATTCCTATTCTAAATTAAGCAGTTATGAACTCTAAAACTATAAACACATGCAATGACAGCTACAAATATCAACTGTTTAACTTTTCTTCAAATACAATGTTTTTATGTTACAAATGTCATGGAACCAGGAATTGAAACAGTTCACTGTACATTCCTGGAAATAAACTTCAAAGCACATCTGGTTTACATTTAACTAGTTATGTCACTGGAAACACAATCTAAACCACAGTGCTTGCTGTAAAAATGTTAACTTTCACAGACTCACAGAGCTTAAACAAAAAAAAGTAAAATAAATTTTTTGTAACTTCAGTCTGAAACATCAGAGGATCTTTATTATTACTGCTATTTATTATGTATTTAAAATAGCCTGTTGAAAACATAAATGACAAGCAAAATTAGTGATTGTAGTAAATATATACAGAGAAAGCTAGAGTCTCCAGTGAATCTGCTAATAATTCCCTGCCTCGTCTTTGGAAATTAGTTTAGAAAGAACAGAGAAAAAGAGAAGTGCTTCAGGCAGACGCATTTACTGTGTGAATGCAATGGCAGAAATAAGAAGACCCAAGGGAAAAAGAGATTCATGGCCTTCAAGTCTTTTTTTTTTTTTTAAACCACTTAATAAAATGCAAATGACTTAGCAGTGGGAAGAAAGTGAGAAATAAGTTATTTGGTTAGGTTTCTCACAATAAATCATTTTTATTTCCACCAATGTCATAAGGCTAGAGCCAAAATAGTTCTCTGTCATTTCTCTTTTATTTACATAACATGAACTTCTTTCTTAGGAATGACAGATATATATTTCATATTAAAGAAAAGGCTTAGGTTTATCAGGAACAATTATCCACTGGACAAAAATAAAGGGCACTCATTCTAACCAACGCTGTTGCCTGATTTGGTATTAATGTCCCTCATGTGTATGTAATCATCCAACATTCTATTATAAACATCATTCGCTCCCACTCTTCAGTTATTCCTATGGGCAGGCGAGTCCCTGCCTTTGATTTATGTTTTGGTATTTGGGCTCTTAGTACCCTTCGAACTCCATTTTACCTGTTAAAATGGTGGGAGTATGCCATAAATATCACTGACAATTAAGCATACAAACAGAACTTGGACCAAACTGATTCAAAGACAGTTTAGTTTTCCCCATCATGTGCTTCTCTCAATAGCACCAAAGAGTATTGTGACTGTGGCAGGGAAATGAGTTCATCAGCTTCCCAGGTAAACCAAGAAGGTATCCTAAGGGGTGCTCTTGCTTTCAGTGCTTCTTGATATTTAACAGAAGGTTATCCTCAAAAACACAATACATAAAACTGATAAACGGCAGTGGGAAGGAAGTGCAGAAAGTCAGGAATAAAGAAAAAAACCACAACCCTTGAAATCCCTTCTCCCATCTTCCAGAAAAATGTATGGAGGATATATGGCTGAATATTTATTTTACCAAGTACATGTCTCAGAGCAATTCTAAAGGATGACAGGTGTCAGAGGGGGTGGGAATGGGTGCTAGGAAACATTCTAGGTGAGTGTATTGGCAAAGCCTGAGCTACTCTGAAAAGATAGCTTTTCTATCTGACAGAAAGATCTTCAAAACTGTTAAGTTTTGAAAAGAAATGCTCAATTATGGAGAGGATGAGTCTTCAAGTACTTTAACTAGGATTGGAGTGAGTACTCTTCTTGGGAGGAGCTCCTCCAAAAGGACAGTTACCAGGACTAAGTTTAGAGAAAGTGCATTTTATACTGAGGTTCTCTTTTCTTATTTTTTTTCTTTTTTCCAGGCTAATTACTGTTTTTCAATGGCCCCCTCCAATTCAATCCAAACTTAGAATTGCACTTTGTAATTGCATTTCATTGACTTCAGCTGAGTCATCTGTGTTCTGGCCTCTTGTTCAAGTCCTAACTTGTCTCTGTTCACAAGAATGCTTTGAAATGAAACAATAAGACAAGGAGAGAATGTTAACATCTTTTTGCATCATATTACTATTGCTGTTTTCTTGGCTACAGAGTCACTAAGAAATACTTTAACAGATAAGGAAAGGTCTATTCAAAATAATTAAGGATGAAATCTGTTTTTTCTTTTTTTAAGTGACTTTGGCAGCAGTTTCTGGATTCGAGAATGTCATCAGACATTTCCACAGGCCCACACAGTGAGACTTAAAAAGAACAATGATTAGTAGTCATACAACAGATTATTCTGAAATACACAGTTCTTTGATCAAGAAACAAAAACATAATTGAATGCGCTGCTTGCTTAGCTGGTATCTCAGCGGAAATGAGGCCTTTTGTCGTGTAAGTCACCCACATAACGTCCCCTGTATAGAAATGTAGTTAGAAGAAAATGAGGAAGTTTTTAAACAGTGATTTATGATCTAGAAACCCAAACGATAAACTTTTAAATCATCACATAGAAAGGACAACTTTCTTAGACTATAAGTTTATGTAAGGTGGCCATTTTTACTCAGGCCCCAAATATTTTCTGGGCCAATCTCTGAGATATTATCAATCATGTCGTAAATAAAATGCCTCAGGGCTGACTTTGCCATTATGATTCAGGTTCCCCAAGGCCGGTGTGAATGTGTCACTGTAGTTCTTAAAAGGGGAAAAGAAAACAAACAAAAATCTGATTATTTTATTTCAGCAAGTAAAACACACTGGCTCTTTTCACTTCTCCCCCTCTGCAAACTTCAAAGTGTTTGTTGAGATTTTATCTGAATGGAACAAAACTGATAGATTTGTGAACTGGGTTAGGTACAGGCTATTTCTTTCTTTCTTTAAAAAGAATTTTTTATTTGTTTGTTTGTTTATTTCAGTAATCTGTACATGCAACACGGGGCTCAAACTCATGACCCCGAGTCAAGAGACACAAGCCCTACCTATCGAGCCAGCCAGGAGCCCCAGTACATGCAATTTCTAAAACTGGCAGATGAGCTGAAAGACATGATTACATTTAAAAAATATTCAGACAATACTCTGTTTATTATCTTGTTTCATCCATGTACTTGGTGAACATCTGTGTCTATCTAGGTACTTACTACACACACGTAAGGCAAGGAAAGTGGCTCTTACCTTCACACGTCTCCGTCTCAGTCCTGAACACGTACCCGGGGGGGCACGTGCAGCTGTAACTCCCAGGAGTGTTTCTGCACAGGCCATTGTCACAGAGCAGTCTGTTGACCAAGCACTCATCAATATCTGAAAGCAAACATCAGAAGATATGGGATACGCATAGTGAAATGAACAGTCCAGTGACCAACCAGTTTTTATTTTCATTTGTTTTTTCCCTTATCCCCTCCTTGATTTCATCTCTCCTTTAAAAAAATTAATATATTTTTAGTTCAAGTATAGCTGACATACAATATTAGAAGAGTTTCAGGTCTACAACATAGTGATTCAATATTTATATACATTGCGCAATGCTCACCATGGTAAGTGTAGGGATTATCTGTCCATCGCCATACAGAGTTTTTACAATATTGACCATATTGCCTGATTCCCTATGCTGTACTTTTCATCTCCATGACTTATTTATTTTATAACTGGAAGTTGGCACTTCTTAATCCACTTTGCCTATCTCACCCATCCCCCCACCACTCTTAGTCTTTTTATGCCCAAAGCACATTCCTTGATCTTAAGCAAAATATATTTGGTTTTACTCATATGGAACATTCCTATACTGGTAGCTTTTTTCTGATTAAAATTGTAATAAAGGGGGTGCCTGGGTGGCTCAGTCGTTAAGCATCTGCCTTCGGCTCAGGTCATGATCCCAGGATCCTGGGATCGAGCCCCACATCGGGCTCCCGGCTCAGTGGGGAGCCTGCTTCTCCTTCTCCCTCTGCCTCTCCCCCTGCTCATGCTCTCTCTCTCTCTTTCTCTCTCTCTGTATCTCTGTGTCTCAAATGAATAAATAAAATCTAAAAAAAAAATCAAATGACACTTTAAAAAAATAAAATTGTAATAAAAATGCATTAAATGGCAGTTAAACAAAAGGTGTTTACTACTCTTTTTCCATTATTTTATCTCAGAACTATTCATTATTAATGGGAAATTAATGATCTATTTTGAATATTCCTTTAGCAGTCTAGAACAGCCTAGAAAATATCATCTACAGCTTAGGTTTAAGAAGCTCACACAGTTTTATCTTCTTATCCACACTCATTTTTGCAAATGTAGTTAATAACAGAAAGAAATAAAAACTGCAGTTTGGAGAGAATAGTTCCTTCAACTTACAATTTTAGTCTTGCAAATAACAATTGTACCTTACCCCAAACAATATGCACAATGTGTGTTGTGAAAATCTGGAAAACAGAGATTAGAAAAATATTTGTCTTGATTCCATCAGCTCTGATATATATTATTTTTTGTGTTTTATCTGATTTTTTCCCCTTTGGGTGTTATGTTTTTGCTCCAATGCTGAATCTTGATTTTTAAAAACTAACCTTATATTTTAAACATTACCATAAACTTCCCCATGATTGTCTGTTGCATTAAGTGCAGTTATTTACCCGCTAGTCCATGCTATGGGGTATTTATTTACCCACTAGAAAATATCCCACTAGTCCGTGCTATGGGTTAGAATGTGTCCATCAAAAAAAGTTATGTTGAAGTCATAATGTGACATTATTGGGAAACAGGAACATTTTAGAAGTAATTAAGTTAAAATGAGATGGTTAGGGTAAGCTGTAATCCCATATGACTGCTGTCCATAAAAAAGGGGAAATGATATGAGACACAGCAGGAAGATGATGTGAAAATACAGAGGGAAAAGATGGTCATGTGACCAAAGTGATGCATCTACAAGCCAAGGAACATCAGGAATGCAGGCAAACACCAGAGGCTGGAAGAGGGAAGGAGGGATCCTCCCCCAGAGCCATCAGAGAGAGCAGAGCCCTCGGGACACCTTGATTTTAGACTTCTGGCTTCCCAAACTGTGAGACAAGAAATTTCTGTTGCTTTAAGCAACTCAAATTTTGGTACTTTGTGACGGCAACCTTTAGCCAACTAAAACTGAAATTTGGCTTCATTTTTATTTTAAAATGTAGTTTTAACTCTTATCAAAATTGTGCATATACCTACTTTAAAAAGTGAAGGAGCACCACGAACCGTGTTCAGTGTATAAATGCTCACTGAATCTCCCTGTTTTCAGTAGGGTGCCCGTGTGCTCAACTGCATTTGGGAATTATGCTGGAAGCAACTTTGCTTCTGGTAAATATAAGCTAACTGGTTTACATATTTTTATGAATTTCAATAATCTTTCCCTGTGAGTATCAATATCTATTATAAGTACATAACATTTAATACAGCTTTATGCATCTATCTGTATATATGTCTTCAACTCAAGATCATATGAATATATTCAATAATAAAAGCTAGTACCACAAGTGCAGAAAAAGGTATTTCTTTCTAATTATAATCATCAAGACTTGGATGTAAGAGTCATCAATAGTTAGATGTAACAATTATTACATATGATGGATTAAACACATTCATTTTATAAAAGTGGACTCAAATACTCTATGAGAAAGTCTAAATTCTTCACAAATTCCTGAATATATGAACTATGTACTTGAATTTTTACAAACATTCTCTTATAAATTACAAAAAGAAAAACCAATCTCAGTAATCATGTTTGGATAAGTTTTAGCAACTAGTTGTTTCCTTGTAAGTCAAAGTTTTCTCAACCTGTAATACTTTATTTTCTTAACTTACTATTATCCATACTGCCCTGTTAACTCTGAAGTCCATTTCTTAGTGAATAATTACAGGATTAAGATACATGCAGAAATACAACAGGCCAATAATTGGGTATGCATCCATTCATTTGGGAAAAGAAAGATTTAAATACTAAGTTATGCCACTAAAAATTTTGTTACTGTGTAATAGAATTGGGTGGATTCCAGTATTTTTATCTCTTGGTACTAAGAAGGAAACAAGAGAAGCTGTAAGATCTGCAGATTTAGTCACTTATTTGTATTTCAATTCTCTTATAATCCATGAAATTAAACTATACACAAGACTCTTGTATAAATATAGCAACTTACCAATACAGTTTCTTCCAGAAGAATCTGGTTCATAGCCACTGTTGCAATTACAACGGTAACTACCACGTAAATTTTCACAAATTCCATTGGCACATATATCAGGATCCAAAGCACATTCATTGATATCTGCATTAAATGTTGAAAGTTTAATGCTCACAGACATTTTATTGTTTGTTGATACACGTAGGCCTAATAAAGACAATTCAACATATGAAGTGTTTAACTCTGCAAACCCACAATCTGCATGTCTTTCAGAAAGGGAAAGGAAATGAAAATAAGGAATAAGAGGATAAAATTGAGGGATACAGGACAATTCTTGGTAAGTTAAAAGAAAAATGAAGGGAATTGGCAGAAATTCAAAAGACTAACCCATGTAATGCACCTGTATTTATGATAAAATTAATAAAGAAAATTATAGGCTGTTGGCTCAAAATCCAAAGGAAAACTTAACTGGATATGTATTATAACCATCTAATTAAAAGACAAACATTTACTAGGGTGACCTATATAATTTTATGGTCCCCAAAGGCATAGAATATTTCTATTTTATTATCATTTTTTACAGTCAGCTAAGTAATATGGTATTTAATAAATGTTTCTCATTATTAATAAGTTGAAATTAATGGAGAGGATAGTTCAAATGTGGATGCTTGAGAACACAATGTTTTACAATAAGCCACGAACTGGACTACTCTGTCAGCCATGGGCAGTAAGACCTGAGGAATGATGCACTTATATGAGCAATCTAGTAGTAGCCAACAAGGGGCTGGCTCTGCTGGGGAGACGATATTGAGAGGGAATGAGAAAGAGTCACAAAGTCAAATTTTGATCACTATGCTCAAATTTTAATTCTAACAATTGTGTTCTAGAATTTGGGAGACCTTAACATACTCCAGAAATGTTGGCTTTTTCAGTTTTGGGAGAAACATCCTTGTAAAAGTTTATTTACTCTGGTTTTTGATGTTTATCACAAAGATGCAATACTGCCGTTGACTAATCTATAATGTGTCTAAAATCTTCTCAAACACAAAAGGAGAAGAAAATATATGTAAAGTGAAGACTAACAGTAACTTACAGTTTAAAAAAAAACACAAAAGAAACTATATGTATATACTATACATATAGAAAAGAACTTAGAATAAACTTTTACATACAGTAAAAGAACTTTAAAGTTATAAACACATATTTATTTACTATTCAAGGTTTCATAGTTGAATTTTGTGAATCATATTACTAAGTTTAAAATAGGAAAATGTCAATGAATTTCACTACCTTAGTTAAATTTAGAAACATTTCAGTATTTTTAGGCATAAATAATCTTAACAACTTATTTTTAGGGTAGTAAATCCCAAACATAATCCATATCAAGTATCTCTTAAAGATTTTTTTTAATCTTGTCAGCACCATTATTTAATATTTTTCTTTAAAATGACTCATTTTCTTTAAACCTAAATACCAACTTCAGTCTCTTCTTAAGCAATAGTACCCACAAAATTATGGGTGTAGTTTGTTAGGGACATTTTCAACAATATATATTTAACAGATAAATATTTATCTATTATGAAAAATGTGCATCTACATACCACTTAATAAACCTATCTTATAACCACTATTCTAAGAGATAGTTTATCTTATTTTACACTGATATATTTTTAAAATACTAAATACATTCATATTCATGTTCTAATCATAAAGCTATCAATTACATAATTACTATAAGAGTGAGAATTGAATAGAGTTACCTCTTCCATCCACAGTGATCCCTACTCCACTACTACAAAGACCATGGAATTCAGCTAGAAGATTAAAAAAAAAAAAAAACACATAAATTAAAAACTTCAAACTCTACCTCTCCATACACGAATCACTTACATCACTCCAAAAAGTACCATGAAGAAAAATTACTGGCAATAATTTTTAAAATGAAAAAATAATTACTATTTTCCAACACATAATTATTGTAACAATTCCAAAATCACAGATAAGCATAAAAAAAATTAAAAAAACACTAGTGATTATCACTGAATATAGTTAATATATTGATAAATGTTACAAATATTTTCTACATTGGGGAGGATATGTGCTATGGTGAGCACTGTGAATTGTGTAAGTCTGTTGAATCACAGACCTGTACACCTCTGAAACAAATAATACATTATATGTTAAAAAAAAAAAAGAAGATAGTAGGAAGGGAAAAGTGAAGGGGGCGGAAATCGGTGGGGGAGACGACCCATGAGAGACTGTGGACTCTGAGAAACAAATTGAGGGTTCTAGAGGGGAGGGGGTTGGGAGGATGGGTTAGCCCCATGATGGGTATTAAAGAGGGCATGTTCTGCATGGAGCACTGGGTGTTATACACAAACAATGAATCATGGAACACTACATCAAAAACTAATGATGTAATGTATGGTGATTAACATAATAAAA